GCGGGAAAGAGAGAATAGACCTAATTTTCGAACCACATGGAGGATCAGTAGGAACACTTTAGAAGTACCTTCTGGGTTATGCCCATGCATGTGCTCACATGCACACACACACACACACACACATATATGCACACATGCACACACTGTGGGATTCTAGTAAGAAAGGCCTCCGCTAAGAGCTCTGTGACCCACACCGAGTTCCACAGACAGCCACTCTGCCTCCGACCTTCAGTCCTTTGTGCTTCACCTGTGTTCTGGGGGAGTGACTTTGAGGAGGATGATGAAAGTGTTTTTGTTAGGAAATGAAGTCAGACTAAAGGCTAAGGCCGCTCTTTCCAGTGTCCATCTTCAGGCCCAGGGCATTCTGAGCTGGGGTCCCTCTGACTCTTCCCTGAGGGTTTATAGGAAGAAGGAAGAGCTTGGCTCCTGGTGGCCCCATGTTGGACGCCTGTCCCAGTCCCTCCCTCCCCGTCCTCACCTGCTCCTTGAGACAACTGTCTGAACCCGTGACCTTCAGCCCCAAGCACCCAGCTGGTCCCACTTGGGCCGACTGAGCACCAGGCAGCTCAGGGCCGACCTGCGTGTCACCAGTCTCCGGCCCCGCAGGCGGGCAGGCCTCTTAAGGACAAAACCCCAAGTCAAACGTCTTCTCTTCTCCCCAGTGTTCTCCATGACATTAATTTTAAGTGTGGTAAAATACACCTAACATCATTTTAACCCCTTTAAGCCAACAGTTCCATCCGTTCACCTTGTTGTGCTCCGTGGCATTCATCGTAAGCTTAGCCCCGATGCGAGTTTGTCTCAGAGGGGGCGGTTGCTTCCTCCCCAGGGAGATGCTCCTAACACTTTTGTTGCAGCCGATTAGAACCCACCCCCTGCCGCTTGGCTCCTGCCCTCAGATCTTGCTGCTGTGGTTCAGTCTTGGTTTCAAAGGTGCAGATTGCAGAGCCGAGCGCGGCGGCCGGTGGAGGGTCGCCTCGCAGCTGGGGAAGGGGTGACCAGGGAGGGGTCGCGGGAGGCTCTGCTGGTGGCTTCAGGGGCTGCCTTGTCAGTGGGGGTCAGAAATCCACTGTTCCTCTAACTGCATCAGCTCCGATCCCCCAGCCACACACCCTTCCCTGCTCAGACGGGCCCAGGGATGCAGAGTTTTCATCTTAACGCGCAGGCAGTTCTGTTCCTCCATCGCCGAGACCAGGTGTCGCTGACCGTCCCGAGGCTTTCCTTCCCAACAGGACAGACCTCCGCCGCCTTTACCTGCTTGAGTCCCACGAGCGGACGACGTGGTTCCTAGCTCGTCTCAGCCCCCAGCTTCTCCCGGGGTCGGGGGGGCGGGGCGGGGTGTCCCCCGTGCGTGGGGCCGCCCGGCAGCCCCCTGGAGCACAGCCGCTGCCCCCGCCCCGCGCTGTGGTCGATGCTTCGCGTCCGTCACTCCTCCGTGTCCCCCTCCATGCCCCCTTCCCTGTGCGGTTGTTAAAAGCTTTCTATGATCTGTCGCTGTGTTTCCCTCTAGTCAGGAGTGGCAGGAAAGGACGCCGGCGAGTGTTCAGCCTGTCGGAGGCCGACAGTCACGGCGGCCACTGGGTTTAGTGCTTCGATCGGCAGCTGTCGCAGCACCTCGGGCTCGGTCACTGCAGGCAGGTCTCCTCCGTTAGCCTCCTGGGCCCTCAACGCCCCCCACCACCGCCCCGCACGTTGCATTTCCGACTCCTGCAGACCCCCAGAACACCAGGCGAGGGCACGGGGAGCCCCAGCCGCCCGCCCGAGCCATTTCCTCAGCTCCGGTCCCCTCCTGGCCTCATCCCACCCGAGGACCGAACCCCTTGGCCCTTGACCCAGGGGGCTCAGCTGGGTCAGCTCCTCCGCGAGGCAGAGCTGGGCAGTCTAGAAACACTGCCCTCCGTGAGACCCTGCAGCAGGCTAGGCACAAGCCCTGAGCTAAGGGGGTTTCCAGCCCCTTCCCCCCAGGGCCCCCCAGTTTAGGCCACAAGGGCTGGGCAGAATTTGCAAAAAGCCACAAAGAAGTCACCTAGTTGCTTTTTTTTCTTTTCCTTTTCCTCCCCGCCCCACCCCCACCCCACTCCCCCTCTCCTCAGCCTTGCTCGTATCTAAGTGGTGGATTCCATCACATTCCACCCGGAGGCCAAGTCATTTCACTAGCGAGTGCGCTGGTGGACATGACTCCACCGTTCTCCCTTCTTGCGATCAGAGCTCCAGATGGCGGCCGTGTGTGGGCTGTGGTCACTGCCACCATCCCACAGTGCTCCCTCTAGGGCGCCCCCTGCCCTGTGCCCTCCGTCTGGGCAGCGGCACTCGGTCAGACAGGAGCCTTTGCCTTCTCTTGCATTTAAAAGCTGCCTGCCCTGAGCTTTGCGCTCCTACTTGCTGTCTTTCCTTCCCCACGTCGCTCAGTCCCACCTCCCCCAGCCTGAGCATGTCAGATCCTCATCTTGATTGGAAACTGTCACCCACTCAACAAGCGTCAGCCCTGGAGCTGCAGATCAGCCTCCAAGGGTGCCAACCAGGGACTCAGGGCACCCACTGCCTTGGTTTCAACTCGAGGCAGCACCACGGGGAGGCTGAGCACCCCTCACGGGAACTGGACGTCGGGCTCTCCAGCTCCGGCCTCCACTCGTCTCCTGGGTCAGGCCTGAACCTGTGCCCTCGGAGCTCAGAAACACCAGCAGGCAAGCGAGGCAGAGGGTCCACAGTGACCACTGCAGATCTGTGCTTGACCAGGAATGGTGTCCTCCTTGGGTAATTTTCCCTTGAATGTATAAATTTGGAGCTAACATTCAGGAAGCAGCTCTTAGTTTAAAAATCGGTAGGTAGATATAGATAGATAGATGGGAAATAGATAGATGATATATAGAAGATGATCAATAGGTAGATAGCTAGATGATAGATAGGAAATAGATGATAGGTAGATAGAAACAAAGAACAGTGTTGTAGACGATGGGTAAGAAAAGGTTATTTTTCTTGTTTAAAAAAATAAATAGGAAGAGGCTCTTTTTCAGGGGACAAATGGATCCTTTTAATAAAGTTGTTCTTTTCTTAAAGAAGAAACCACTTTTGTGTGTACCACATCATTTGTTGGTTTGTTTCCTAATATATTTAACGGCAGCCTTCCCACACGCTTGATCGTTCTCACCACCAGAAACCCGGGCAGGACTCAGGGAATGAGGTTTGCCAGCATCTTGAAAATCTGCATGCAAGTGCAGACCCGAGCAAAGAGGGAATTCTCCTGGAGAATTCTGCAGAAAACGTGAAGGAAACGCTCCGAAGCTCTGTCTCCAGATGGCACAGAAGTGCCGTTTGGATGGTTAGTCATCTCTAAACTGCCTCGCCAGCAGCTAAGCCCACACGTGGGTCCTTCCGTAATAAGTTCCTGGACACGCTCGTGTGAAGCGAGGCGAGGCCGCCAGAGCAGGTGAGCCCCACACTCAGAGCCTCACGTTCAGGGCACGCCACATCCCAACATGAGCCCAAGGCCTGAAATCAGCCCGTCGCCACCAGGCGTCCTTACTGAGTGGAGCAAATTCACTGAAATTCAGAGAAACCAGAAAGCGTGTGGGGTTGTTTACTCAGCATTTCTGGGCTCAGATCGCACCTTGAATCATTTTTTCCACTAGTGCTCACCCGTGTCCACCGACACCACCCCACCCCAGAGCCCCATGTGGTGGTTTTCTGTGGGCCTACTCTTAAAAAAAAAAAAAAAGGAAAGAAAGAAAAGAAAAAGGACCTTGTGCAGAAGTGACCTGCAGCCTTTCTGAGCTCGCCGTGCCTGGGGTGGGGGTCCTCTGGGAAGGAGCGATGTGTCCTTTGGGAAACCCCATCTGTTGCTTGTGCTTTCTCCACGCTGGGGACCCTCTTTCCTCTCTTTCATCCCATTCTGTACGCCCTTCGGTTTTATTTTGCGCTTGGTTTTTCCATTCTTTTGCTCTGTGTTCAGTTTGCGGTTCTGTTTTGTTTTGGCTTAACTTAAAAAAAAATACAACTCACTTAAGTGGAATCACATTGAACCAAAAAACAACGCCTGCCGTCATCCCAGGACCCAGAGTGCTTTTGGATTCCCACTCCACACAGTGTGCTCAGAGCCCTGTTGACCCCAGGATCTGTAACAAGGGAGATTTGCTCTCCGAGTGAGATGCCCACGGCCTTCTCATCTGTGCTTTCCGATTGCTGGCACGTGAAGTCTCAGCAGATGTTTCCCACGAGGGAGCCCCAGTCCAGCTGGTGTCTCTGCCAGCCCCGCTCCTCCTTGAAAAGAAATAAGCCATTCGCCTGTAATCTAATCAACGGATTTCAAAAAGCACCAAAGAAAGAAACTGCTGCTCCAAAAATAACTGCTTCAGGCCACCCCTCCCTCCTGACGTGGTTTCTCTCGGTGGCCCTGGCATGGGGGTGGAGAGGGGAGAGACCCTCAGCATAGACATGGCCTGGTGATCGCAGCCCCTTGCTGGGTGCTAACGCTGCACTCAGAGCCGTAGCAGGCGAGAGAACCACAGTCCAAAGTCTTGTTCTAGTTTTGCAAAGCCAAAGAGTTCTATAGAATTCCTTTTTTTTTTTTTTAATATTGCAGTGAGTTCCCTCTTGGGCACTGTTACCAAATATAGACTCTGAGAAATGGCCTGCGGTGATGAGCACACCCAAGCCCATCTCTCCCTAAACATATATTTCTCCTCGGGCAGGTGGTTCATACTCGGAGCCGGTTTAGCTGCTTCCTGGCACGGGGAACTGGGCTTCCAGAATCCACTCTGCACAGGCCCCTAAATGTGTCCCTTGCTTCACAAGTCAGGGTAACCCTGGGCCCTGGCCGACTTGCCCCAGACCTAGGTGGGTCCCCAGAAGGAGGAAGGGGAGGCAGGCTGGTTCCCCTACACGCTTCATCTCCCACCCACATGTCCCCAGGCCTTTGTTCAGGACGGGAGCAGAGGGTACCAGCGCGAGCAGAGCCTCTCGGAGCTGAGCGTGCCTCTCTTTCTTCTTCCCCCCTTGCCCAGATGACCCCATGATCACGGAGCAGCCTCAGCCTAACCTCCCCGACCAGTTGGTGATCGTCGACGAAACAGAAGCCGAGGCCAGGCCTGGCAAGAGCCTGGCAAGGAGTGCGGACATGGAGACCGTCACCCTGTCGCCCAGCCTCATCCCCGCCCAGCAGCCCACCATCTCCCTGCTCTGCGAGGACACTGCGGACACGCTGAGCGTGGAGTCGCTGACCCTCGTCCCGCCTGTCGACCGCCACAGCCTCCACGCCCTCACCGGCATCCCGCCGCCGCCCCCAGCCGTGGTGGGCACAGAGGCCCCTGGCTCGGGGGCCGGGCAGCCGGAGCCAGCAGACCCCTCTGAGCCCTGAGCCGGCCTCCCTCGGGGTGGACGTGTGTGTGTGTGCGCGCGCGCGCGTGCGTGTGTGGCCCCGCTGGCAGGGACCTGATAGAGCTGAAGCCCCAGGAACATCCACAGTTCTTCTCGGCCCCAGGGAGCACCTCAAACCATCCTTGCGCTCCTCTACTCCAATTCGAATCCCCCTTTGACTTCACGCCTGTTTGAGAGCAGGCTGGGACCAGTGGCAACACCCCGGTGAACCCGGATCATCCGAAAGCCGCCTCAGGGAGGGGGCTGGGCTCCTGGTCTCAGAGCCCTCGGCCCCCGGGTGTGGGGGTGCAGGCAGCGGCAGGACCCATCAGCAGCACTCGCTTCATCAGCCAGCCCCTCCCCTGTCTTGGAGGTCCTCTGCCACCATCCCCAGTGTGCAGAGAAGCAGCGGACGTGGTCACTTTGTGTAGAAATTTCTAGAAAAGCAAACTTCGATAAACACCTCCTTTGGATATTTATTCCTGCTTTTGGCAGCAGATGAAAAACAGCTATTTAAAAAGTTCAAAAAGAAGAAACGTCCTCCACCCTAAGGTTTGATGTCATGTTGTAAGTGTAATATTCCTGTAGAGATTTCGTTTTCATTTTCCCTTGAAGTTCCGGGATTTGCGGTTTAGAGTTCTGTGTCCAGCTTTCTCCACTGTCTTTAGGGACTCTGACTTCTTTGTCTCTCACTAACCCGCGAGCCTGTGGAATGATAGAAGTCCCTTCTGGAAAGTTTAAAGTATTTTTTAAGCATAAATAAGGGAGAGATGCACATCCTCAGGTACACACAGAGCTGAGAGAGCCAAAAGTTTCTCTGCCGTGGCAGCCCAGGGGCGTCACCCAGATCTTTCCATGAAAAGGGGGACTGTGGTCAGGTCCCTGCTCAGGGCCACCCCCCCCCCCATCCTTCTGGACTGAAACCAAACAGGACGGTTTTCCAGCATGGCCTTCAGTTGTCACCATGTCTCCATTTGCCTAAGAAAGAACTCTGTGGGACTGCAGGGACTCTGGCCTCCCTCTGATGGCTCTGATGGAAAGAAAAGGTCGTGGAAACCATGCTCCAAGGCCATTGCCTGCTGCTTAGCTGTGTGGGTGCCCACAGGCAGGGACACCCCCAGGGTCAGCCCCTGCCCAGCAGCGAGGACATGGTGTCCTAGGAGCCTGGGTTTTGGCCCTCTTCCTCTCAGCTGCTGCTGTAAAGATGCAAGCTCATTTGTGTTTATTTTTGTTTTGTAATGAAAACCCCTGGTTCCGTCTCCATTTGGGCTGGGCGTGTGCAGACCAGGTCTCCTCTGTATCTGATAAAGCTCCCAAGATACTCTTTCTGCTCAAACCAGGCACAGCCAAGCGACCCTCACCTCACTGATCGATGTTGAGATCTTGCAGAACTGGCCTCCACATGTTCCCACAAGAACATGAGCACCCACCGTGTCAGCACTGGCCGGGCTGGGTTGTCAAGCGGCCTCAGAATATGCTACGCAAGCTCACCTGTCAGAGACCCCGTCCCCCTTGCCTCCTCCTCCATCTGCAGTCAGGCAGGGCCTGCCTGGGCCAGATTCAGCCTCCTAAAGGAAACACCCAGTTCCCCCGAGTAAGGGCCATGGCATCTGCAGGGCAAGTCTCTCCAGCCATCAGAAGCCCCTGGGCAGGTGAGACCAGCCAGCACCATCAGGGGAAAAGACCCAGCTCAGATAGAAGGCCATTTCGACAGAAATTCCAGGGGCCCCAGCAAGGAGGGACAAGCCATGACTTCCAGCAGAGCCCTCCGGAAAGGACAGGCGGCGGGGACAGGAGGGAGAAAGTGCGTGTTGTCAGGGAGGGGACCCCACTGGTGCCTCTGCTGGGATGAGGCTGCCCACTTCTGCTTTTGAAACGATTCTGGAGCAGCAGAAAGGAAGAAAGGCCAGTGGCATTATTGTGAGAAAGAAGCCCAGGCAGGTGGACCCAGCTCTTCAAGCTCTACAGGAGCAAGGTCTCAGCCAGTGGGGACCACACGCCTGGAAGGACCCAGGGCAGCATCACCAGGCGGGAGAGCTGAACACAGACTGGCCTCCGTGGACTGTTGAGCAGAAGGTGTGATCAGGCCAAGCTTCCACCCCATGCCTGGCCCAGGGGCAGACTTCCCCCCAAAGTGGGCTCACAGGGTTGGTCCTGGGCCGCCCACAGCCTGCTGGCAAACCAGATCCCCACCGTCTTGGCAGCACTGGGTACAGCTGCATTTTCAGGAGCACCCCAAAAAGCGAACGGTGGGGGCACCTCCAGAGAGGCCCTTCCAGACAGCAGGAACTGGGTCTCCAGGGCAGAGAGAGGTAGAACCAGGAATTCTTGGTGAGCCCAGGGCAGGCGGGGGCCACGGCCCGGTGACACATGGGTACCAGACTTGGATCATCCATCCCTCCATCTCCATGTCCTGCCCCTCCAGAGACCCTCCCTAAGTCCACATCAAGCCCATTGGGTTTGCCAGGTCAGGGGCAGAGCTGGTCATGTCTTCCCCCAAACATCAGCTTTGAAAGTGGCTGGGGGAAAGCACATATGCTTCTGGTTTGCCAGCAGGGGCGCCTCAAAGTCAGAAAGGCACAGGCCCCCCACCCAGGAGCGGGTATTGATTGTCCTGCCGGCACCAGCAGACCCTCTGTGCTCCCCTTACCCCTCCAGGCGTGGCCTGCTTGCTGCTCTCTGAAGAAGGCAGCTCCTCCCACCCCCCAACACCTGCCCTGCGACCCGGGGGTGAGTGATGGAACGCACCTCTACAGACACACACTAGATCTCCCTAAGGTCTCAAGATGCACTGGTCCAAAAGGCGCGAGGCGGGGTGAGGACCGACACTCACCTTCTTTTCTAGATGCAATAAATAAGAAATATTTAATGTAGTCACTATGACAGGGGGGCGGAAACTGTAAGGGTTCCTTATGTTCCTCCAAGTTGAAAATATGTAAATAATTCTTGTCCCGGGGTGGAGCGGGATTGAGAAACCTCATGCTTTCCGGGCTCCGGGACCGTTCCAGGGAAGTACCTGCTCTCGCCAGCGTGATTCATGCTTCGCGGGTACTCAACACAAGGGTGGAAATGAAAACTGGAACTTCCTTGTAAATTTGAATTTGGCAATAAAAAAAAGAAAGAGTTACCAAGAATGTGGCTGCTGCTCCATGGCTGTATGGCGGGAAGGCCACAGCCGGCAGAGGGGAAGGTTCTCGGCCGTCTGACCCCCTCGGCCTGTCAGAGCTGCGGGGCGGGGTGGAGCCGCTGGGTTCTCCCCGCTCCCACCCTAGCCAGGTACCCCCAGTTCCTGAAAGGAGGGGCGGGGAGAACACCTCAGGTGCTCCCTCCAGCAAGGAGCTCCCAACCCCAGGCAGGCCAGGTGCCGTGAGCCTGGAGCACCCCTCAGCTGCTGGGCTCCGTCTGAGCCTCAGCTTCCACACCTAGAGAATGGGCTCATTCCAGCCCTGCCTCGTAGGCTGAGCACGGGGCCCGGTGCGATGTCGCTGCTGGGCCTTGGGCTCCCCACCGAGGACAGTCGGGTGAAGTTGTGCCAGGAGGCGCCTTTCACAGGCAGCGTGGGCTCTGGAAAACCCTAGAAGCGGCATCCCAGGTGGTCCTAAGAACTTCTGATGCTCCAGCTCAAAGCTGGCCCAGAAACAGCTGGAGCTTCTGGGCCTCGAGGTAAAACCCAAGTTGAGTGCAAGGCCTGAAGGGGGCACCCCACTCGTGCCAAGAGTTGAGGCGATGCCGACGGAAGGTGGGGGCCCCTGCTCTGTGGCCAGCCTGACACTGGCCGCCAGCAGGCCTCCCTTCCCCAGCAGGCCCGGACACCTCCCCTGAAGCCTGCCCACGAGGCCCAGGGCTGCGACGGTGCTGGGGTACCCAGGGCTGAGGTTGGACCCCGCCCTGCAGCAGGGTCTGCAGGGTGCCCAGCACGGGTCCAGGGATTTCAGTCGTGATGTGAAATCTAGACTTCAGTCTAGAAAAAGGCACTTGCTGGAAAGGTCCCCCCAGGGAGAAGGTGGAAGACCGGCCTCGGGGCAGATGGAACCAGGGACAGCAGCTGTCAGCTCCCTGCCTGCATAGGGTCTCAGAGCCTCGCTGGGCCGGGCGCTGGGGTGGGGAGACGGGCCCCAGGAGCCCGGGAGAGGCCCACAAGCACCCACCCGCAGCACAGCCTTCCTGCGAATGAGGAAACTGAGGTCGGGTGGGGCTCCGCCGGGCGCAGCCCACCCTTCGCCTTGTGCTGCCCCCGGGCGGCCGGGCCGAACGTCCCGGGCTCTTTACAGGAAGGAGGGAATGGCTGTTGAAATCATCTGGAATGCCAGTTCACAGTCTGGCGCCGCGGGCTGCCCCAGGCCTGGCCAGGGAGAGCTGGAGACAGTGTCGGTGGGAGAGCCCTGGCGCAGCTCGGCTCAGAGGGTGCCCTGCCGACCGCAGCCTTTTGCTCCTCAGCCTCCCGGTTCTTTGGCAGTACTGGCCTCTCTTCAGGAGGCAGAGTCTGGAGTCAGGTCACCCTTGCAGGCTTGGGGTGCAAAGCAAGGGCGGGAACAGGCTGCCTCGTGGGTTGTTTGGATCATGGAGAGAATCAGGGGTCCACACGGGCAAAGTCCTGCGCCCAGGGCAGGCAGCCTGGGAGCCTGGGGCTCTTGGCATGAGACCCCCCGGGGCAGCTTCCGCCACCCCTGTTGCTGGGCCTGTTTGGTGGCCATGGGCCAGTCGCTACGGTCTCCCGGTCTCCAGTTCTGTGTAAGGCAGGCTCAGGAGCCCCCAGCTGCGTGTACCCTCTGACTGCAAGGGGCCCAGGGTTTCCTCGGGAGCCTGCCTCGGGGAAGGTGACTGGCAGGCCTGGCCCAGCCTCCTCTGACAGTACCTGGAAGGTGGAAGGGCATTTGGGAGGGAGGGGGCAGCATCTTGTCCCTGGGTGACCTTGCATCCCACATGGAGGACCGTTTCCCAGCTGGCCGCCTGCTGGAACCCCTCCCTCTGTGGTCCTGCCTCCTCGCTGCCGCCCTTCAGGGCGATGGGGAAAAAACCCCTCAACATCTGAAGTGCTTTTCTCCAAAGGAAGATAGGTTTGAATCACCACACCAGGAACAGGTGGGGCTTCCTGGGAACTGACTCGTGTGCAGATGAGGCCTTGGGGGCCACCCCCTGCCCCGAACCTCAGCCTCCCTCCCCACAGCTCAGCCCTGCTATGGCCCCTCTAGACCGCCTCCTGGGCCACAGCCGTCAAGCCCAGCCCGGCTTCCCTCCAGAACGGTAGCAGGTACCACCTTGAACACACCCCTGCTCAACACATGGATGTCACTGCCACCTGAAACCACCTCCCTAGTTAATTCAGACCTCATATCCATGCCAAGGCCCCCACTCTGCAGCGGCCCAGTGCTAGGCCGGGCTTCGCCTAGAGATGATGGTGAATGAGATGAACAGAAAGGCAGGGGGACATCCTGACATGACCCTGTGCCCAAGGCTCCTGCCTGAGCGACCACTTGAGGCCCCGAGTCTGCTCCAGGAGCTTTAGCCTCGGAGCTGAGAGCAGTAGATGTTTTAAAGCCAAAAAAGCGGGGCTTCCCTGATGGCTCAGTGGTAAAGAATCCACCTGCCAACACAGAAGACGTGGGTTCAAGCCCCGATCCTGGAAGATTCCACGTGCCTTGGAGCAACTAAACCCCTGCGCCACTATTGAGCCTGAGCTCTAGAGCGCAGAAGCCACAGCCACTGAAGCCTGCGCGCCCCAGAGCCCATGCTTCACAAGAGAAGCCACTGCAATGAGAAGCCCGCGCGCCTCAACTAGAGAACAGCCCCTCACTCGGCACAACTAGAGAAAGCAGCAACGAAGATCCAGCACAGCTAAAAATAAACAAATGATTTTTTTTAAAGCCAAAACATGGAGGGTTTACAGCTAAAAAGTGATGTGATTGGACACATGTTGCAAGAGATCACGGGGGCTGCAGGTGAAGGACGGCCAGGAGGGGCCCATCGCGTGGGGAGGGGTCACTAGGGAAGTGGCCTGTGACAGGTTTAGGAGGTAAGACGGACAAGCTTGTTGGACTGGCCATGAGGGAGAGAGCTCAGTGTCCCCCTGAACGGCTTCCAGCTGCCACCTCCTCTCTCCACTGCTTTCTTCCTTCACCTGTCTCCTCTTTTACTCTGTTGCTTCCACTGGTCGCCAAAGGACTGTGGAGGCCTGGTGACAGCCTGGCAAAGCCTAGAAAAATATTAGCATATTCCTCAATCCCACCATGAAGGGACAACCCATGTGGGCACGCTGTGAGATGTCCTTCCAGTCTTTTCTCCTATGCATTTTAGCAATTGACCTAACATGGGGTGTGATTTCACGACCTGCTTCTGACACTTAGCCCCCTGGTCTCAACATTGCCCGTGTTACCGGAAGCTCCATTTCCAAAGAATGTAGAAAGTACTGCGGCAAGGTTGTGTTCCTCGGGTTAGCTGTCGTCCCGGGGTGGAACTTAAAGTTGCTTCCACTTTTATTATTTTAAATCACCCTGGCATGAGCCGCTTTACACATAAACCTTTGTCCACATTTTACGTTATCAATCCCTAGAAGAGGTTCCGAGCATAGGTCATAGAAACATAAATCACCTTCCGGCTCTGGCTGTGAATTGCCCAGTGGCTTTCGGAAAAGGTTGGCTCATCGGCTCTCCCACCAGCCAGGTGCCATTTCTCCGAAGCAGCCTCACCCTGAGTGCTGCCAGTTTTTTAATTCTCCCCCATGGACTTCCCTGGTGGTCCAGTGGTTAAGACTCTGCCTACCAGTGAAGGGGACAAGGGTTCAATCCCTGGTCCGGGAAGATCCCACATGCCACGGGGCAGCTAAGCTGGTGCACCACAACAGTTTGAGCCCATGCTCTAGAGCCCAGGAGCCACATCGAAGACCCAACACAGCCAAGAGTAAGGTTTTAAAAATTCACCCCAGTTTTACAGCCCAGCTCAAAGCTCACCTCCTCGATGAAGTCTCCAGGATTTCCCCTCTCCATCCTCCACTTTCCCAGGCCGGTGTCTCCCCTCCCCCCACTTGCCCCGAGCCCTTTCCAGGTGTCGCTAACTTGGATCTGATGTTCCCAGGCATCAGGCAGATGAGTCCCCATCCACCCAGCTTCCCAGCCCCAATCAATCAACACATTTTGAGCCTCTATAAGGTGCTGAGAAGCTTTCCCAATAGCCTTTGAGGTTGGCATTATGTCCCCTTTGGGCTTCCCAGGTAGCTCAGTGGTAAAGAATCCACCTGCCAATGCAGGAGGTGCAAGAGACTTGGGTTTGATCCCTGGGTTGGGAAGATGCCCTGGAGAAGGGAATGGCTACCCACTCCAGTATTCTTGCCTGGAGAATCCCATGGACAGGGAAGAATGGCAGGCTACAGTCCATGGGGTCACAAAGAGTCAAACACAACTGAACACACACGCATGCTTATGCCCTTTTACAGAGGAGCAAC